GCCATTCTCATAAGAAAACTAGGTGACTGCAGCATGGATGCCTACAGTCTGATGGGTGACTAATTGGCTGGACGGTCGCACAGAGAGTGGTGGCGAACAGGTCGTTTTTGACCTGGAGGGATGTGGGCAGTGGGGTTCCCCAGGGCTCGCTCCTTGGGCCTGCACTGTTCAACATCTTTATCAATGACTTGGACAAGGGGGTGGAAAGCACGTTGTCCAAGTTCACTGATGACACCAAGATGTGGGGTGAGGTGGGCAAGCCAGAAGGGAGGGACAGAATCCAGCTAGATCTGGACAGGTTACAGGGGTGGGCAGATGAGAACAGGATGGAATTCAACGCAGACAAGTGCAGGGTGCTGCATCGAGGGAGAAGGAACCAGCAGCATACCTACAGGCTGGGGAACTCCCTTCTTGTCAGCACAGAGGCGGAAAGGGATCTTGGAGTCATTGTCGACTCCAAGTTGAACATGAGCCGCCAATGCAAGGAAGCAGTCAGGAAGGCTAACTGCACCTTGTCTGCATCCACAGATGCATCACAAGCAGGTCCAGGGAGGCGATCCTCCCCCTCTATGCAGCATTGGTCAGGCTGCAGTTGGAGTACTGCATCCAGTTTTGCGTGCTACACTTCAAGAGAGATGTGGCTAGCACTGAGAGGGTCCAGAGGAGGGCCACTTGCATGATCAGGGGCAGCAGGGCAGGCTATATGAGGAGAGACTAGAGGGCCTGAACCTATTCAGCCTCCACAAGAGAAGGCTGAGGGGATCTGGTGGCCGTCTACAAATTCACCAGGGGGGATCAGCAGGGAATAGGAGATGCCCTGTTCCTCCGGGCACCACCCAGGGTAAATAGGAATAATGGCCACAAATTGATAGACAGCAGGTTCAGGCTAGATTTGAGGAGGCATTACTTTATGGTTAGGGCGGCTCCTACCTTGGGGGTCTTTAAGAGGAGGCTGGATAGACACCTGACTGGGGTCATGTGACCCCAGCACCCGTTCCTGCCCGAGGCAGGGGGTCAGACTTGATGATCTGTTTAGGTCCCTTCCGACCCCACCTACTATGATACCAAAATACCTGGACAGTGACCTAAGGAGGAATTAAGTAGAATATAAGGGGACAAATCAACAGGGACCTGATTACAAAGGTAGGCCATGCCATTCCTTATGCCACCCCAAAAAGGCTAAAAACCACTCCAAAAATCAGGTTGCTTTAAGGTATTTCAATCTGGGTCTCCAAACTGGAGGCACTGAACATCTCAACTCACGTTTGAAAATCTACCTAGCTCCATCTATACAGTGAGTTAATGACTGAATCATGAATCACTCAAACCATCAACATATCTTCACAGAGAGGTTCTGAAATGTTTGGTCCCAGCTGGAAATGTACAAACATTACCTGAAAGGCCAATCCACATGAGATTTCTGCAATTCTGAGAGCTGGAAGTTGAGATAAAGCCCATTCTTCCATGATTTCCAGTCATGTGGAATAATTTGATTTGTATGGATAAGCATATATCTTCTTAACCTTTGCCTGAGCTGAACTAGCACTCTGAACCACCTGTGCTGCCCTGAAAAAGCCACAGTGGTGATTGGTGGTGGCATCTATTCAACAAGAGCTAAAAGTGAATGAGAGGGATCTGTGAAAAATGTGCAAGTTCAGATCATTGTATCCATTTCCAAAGCTTCTTTAAATATGACACAACAGACAATGATGATGGTTCTAAAGTTAATCCTAAACAATACATTTCTTAAAATCTTGAATTTTGGCTACAGATAAAATGCCACCGATGTAAAAAAAAATAATTTATTGTAGCTTCTCAAAGTGAATGAAGCTTTCAGGAGCCACTCTAATTGAAGCACCCATAGCATGTCATGTATACAGTGTCCTGCACTTCTAAATTCTGGCAGGGACGCTTTAACTAAAGCTTGGTTGATAAGCTTTAGTTAAAACACCCTCCACCACCATTTTGAAGCACAGAGACACTGAATACGGGAGACACTGAGGCTATAGGCACCCTATGTGGCTAACTCATTATATTTTAAAAAAACAACCTTAAAAGTGATTTATGTGTTTTGTAAATGTGACCTTTGGTAATAATTGTCAAAGCATGGTAAAAATATCCTGAAAAGGAAAGGTTTTATAAAAGGTATTCTAAAAAATGGAAGAAAATAATACTGAAACTTTGATGAATACTGCATCATTAATTTGCAGAATTATAAAATAGGTTTGGAACTTACTTGGAAGAATTGTTTTGTAGCGATTCTTCCTCACTAAACCTGGAATATCATATTCCTTTGGATCAATAAAGTTCATTGGGATTTCCTATTGGAAGATGCACAGTAGACTGAATTAATAGATTCACAAGAGGGAAAAAAACAAACTATTACATCTTGACTATGAAGGCGAAGCAGTAATGAAGTCAGCTGAGACATATGGTACAGTACTTCCAGCAATTTACCTCCACAACATGATTGATGGTTTCCTTTTTGTGTCCATGGCTTTCATTTCTCAAATTATGAATATGAAAATGCTCCTGATGACTAATTCATTGAGTAATGCATACTATGGCATTATGTTAGTGCTTAATATTATTAGGACTGGATTGGGACATTAGGAACAGACCTGAGCAAGGAACGATGCTTAAACTTCATGCCACACGAGCAGCCCCAGGAGCACTATACCTCAGGACATGAACAGATGAAATCAATACAGTATTTTAAAAGGTGAAGATGGAGGCTGATGATGGATTCAGCTGCACCACACTAAATATTGGGTTTGTCTACTCCTATCCTGTAATATGTGAAGTTAGATCACAATGATTCACTTCTTGTTTCATTCAGAGGTAAAATTACTGAGGTTTGCTTTCACTTACTGCAGAATAAGAGCAGACAGGCAGGACAATTATACCAGATCTACTAACGTATTGTTCATGAGTGGCAAGTCCTCCCTGGCAGCTGTTAAGATAGTGTAATTGTACCTGTGCCTTTGGGTATGCTGCTCTGAAGCACAGCCCTTACTGTTTCTTCTACTTGGTAAGGGTGGAAAGTAATAATTTCTTACTGAAGTGTATCAGTAACAAATTATAACACTTTTCTTAAGAGCTCAGAGGTAGGGCTGTGCGAAGCTTTGGTCCCTGATTCAATTTGAAGAGATTCGGCCTGATTTGGTGGCCAAATCTCTGAATCTGAATCAGATCAGAGGACCCTTTAATCCTTCAAATTGAATTGGAACCCTCCAAATTGATTCAGAAAGATTCGGAGATTCGGACATAGACACAGCTTTAAATGTTTTTTCTATATACCTGAAAGTACCAGGTGGCTTGTGAATGCTGCGATGCTGGGGTGGATGGAGCGTCCCACAGGAGTGTGGGGGGTCCCCAGAACGCTCAGCAGCAGACCAGCACTTCTGGTCCACTTCTGGGTCTGCTGGGGAGCGCACAGGGCCCTCCCCCCCCAGCTCAGCAAATGGTGCTTCCTGGGTCTGGGGGAGGGCACCCAGTGTCCCCCTGCAGCTGATTGCTGAACCAGGAGGAGGCGCAGGAAGGTGCCCCAGCATGCTCCGCGACAGACCTGGAAGTGGACCGGAAGTATTTCCCGTCCACTACTGAGCACATGGAAGGCCCCCTGCACTCGAATCAACAAACTGAATCACTGTCCCTGATTCAGGCTGAATTGAATTCAGGGCCCTAATCAAATCCAAATCGATTAGGGCCCGCTTTGCACACCCCTACTCAGAAGCACTGGCCAGTGAGTATGGAGTGTTGGAATCAAGTAATAAACCACTTTTTACTTCCTCCTTATCTGGCTAGCCCTATCTCCCTCTTTTGCAA